TCACTTATAACTTTGTCACCACCACATCCATGAACTTGACCTCTCTAACTATCATCGAGCAAACTTGCAGCAAATGCTCATGCTCTTTGGCAACGGGCCTGCTCCAATACCAGATGGTATGGTGGAAAGAAAAAAGAGGAATAGAGAAATCAAAGATCGAATTGATTGAAATAATAGGAAGCTTACAATCCAAGCTTCTAGCTCTATGGTGAAACCAAGATTTTGAACAAAATGATATCTAAGTCTGAAAGCAAAACCCTGATACGACCACTATTTATAATAAAAGATCTACTTAAATTCCAAGGAATCCTAATTCTAATTGAAAAAAAGAAGTCCTGATTAAAACAAAATTTGTGATAACTTTTTTGCCCTTGATAAAATAAATAATTCCATAATAACTCTTAACTAGCTTAATCAAGCATTGATGTTGAGGCCTACGAACTTTTTATTGTAGTAATCACATTGATAAAGTTGGTGAAATTTTTGTTGGGATTGGAATCTAAAAGCTCCACAAGTGCCTGAATTCTCATTCAAGAGGTAATTATTGAACTGGAGAAGATATTGTATCTCATTTTTGTCTAAAATGCCTTTTTGTAGGGATTGTACTTTCTGTTCAAATTTAGTTATCACTTGCATTACTTTGTGAAATTCATTTCTATTTAGAGCTCAATTTTATTGAACTTGTATCAGAATTGAGGTTTGATATTCAAACCCGCAATCCTTTCAGGAGAGGTGCAACTATGTAGTAGAAGACCCTAAACAGCCTCCCTATTCTTCAAGCTACCATTAATCCATTCCAGGTCAGTTATGTCACTTTTTCTGCCCTATGATGTGACTTAATATTTCTAATGGGCAATCTCAATACTGATTGTGAAACACATGACCAGATTGATTTCAAGTTAATTAAACCCTGGTAACGCACATTCCATAATATTGTTTTATATCATGTTAATCATATTTCTCTCTCGAACTCTAATTTACGTGGGGAACAATGGTCTTCTGAATTAGGGAATGGGAGGAAGGGGCTGTGGTCAAGAATAAAGAGGAGGGTAGGTAGTGATAGTGGAGTTGACTGCATGGTTGCTTGAGAAATTTCAAGCCTGGTCATGGAGCTAGGTATTGCTTGCTTGGATTACCATGATTTGACATTCATTTGGTGAGGTCTAAAATGTATGGACGGACTGTCTGTGGGAATAGAAAGATGCTCTTTTCTTTTTGGTGGTGGCGGAGGAAAGGACAGTGACACTGCAAGGGTAGCGAACCAAAAGGCTAGGTTGTGGATGGTAAGGTTGGGGAATGTTACAGGTTGGGTGGGAGGAAAGGTTAGGTTGTGGTTGGGGAGCTTTTGAAACGCTTGCAATGGCCTTATTAATCATTTGATAAAAATGAATGACTAAAACCAATCCAATTATTAATTTCTCTGTAATTCATCAAAATCCTCATATGCATATTTTGATAGAACCAAATGAGTTGGTCAATGATTATATCTAGTTGTTGTCAACTAGCATATATGTTGGTAACAAATATTCACCAATTTGTATTAATGTATACTTGGAGATTTGCCAGCTTTGGCAAAACTTTAGGCTATTTAGTTCTCTTTTCTAACCTGAGCTTGTTTTTCAATAATACTTTTTGTGTTTTATGATTCTAGTTTTTTCTTTGGCCTCTAGGATGGTGTTATAACTTACTGATAAGAAAATATACATTGTTTATAATCTTGCTTGCTCTATTGTTTTGTGTAAGCAATTAACTGTAGTGAAGCAAGACTTGGATATTGTTCACAATCTTGTTTGCTCTACATTTTTTTTTTTTTAAAGTATAACACTTATGCTTTTTTTGTTGATTTATCATTTCGGAATTTGATGTGGTCTTTAGATTTGTTTTTGAATCCTTCTATTGATTTGGTAATTTAACATCGGGTTTTTGTAGGCTCTTAGTAGAATTCCAAATTATATATGAAAGAATAATAAGAAAAACATGGCTACCCACACTATAACAAGTGTCCGCTTCAGATCTGTTCCTAAAATGTTGGACAGTCTACGTTTGTTTTTTATAAAATGTATTCCAAATGTATATAAATATAAAAACAATACTTTGAAAGCATGTGATTTGAAATAATGGGGGAAAAATGTGAAAAGAAAAGATTGAAACCTGGGATATTTGATATAAGATAAAAGATAAATGAAACTAGGACTTAGGATATCGCATTCCTACCCAAAAATAACTAACCACATTGCTAAGCCAAATCTGTGAATGTGCGTGTATGAGAGAGAGAGAGAGAGGACACCCTTGCATGAGAAGCTAAAAGGTGGATATAATTCGAATAAAAAATACCTTCCATGGATATATTTTGCACTTTCATCATCCAAATGAAAATTTAATTGTTAACTAACTACAAATGCAACTGAAGTTAAATAAACATTTAGGGAAGGCCCGAACGTGTAGAGTGTTTAGTAGGCTTTGCAACAAGTAAGTGATTCTCAAGCAATATGTTAATAAGGGGCATATTTTAGTCCACATAAGCCTCCCAATATCCATGATATCTTTACATATGAACCCTAACTTTGCTCTCTCTCTACAGGTTTCATATTTGTCACAATCTTTCAACTCCTTGTTGTTCGTCATCATCACTGCCAAAATAAACAAAGAACTGAAGAAAAGATATATGAATTGTTATCAAGAATAATGTAAACACCAACATTCTAAATAAATGATGGGTTACAAGACTTGGATGAGCGTCCAAGGTTCTGGGCTCATGTAGACACTAAGAATGTGACACACATGTCTAACACTATAGAAACTAAGATACTTTAATTGCTTAAAATCGCACCTCCCGACCCGTCGAATATATCTATGAATGTGTTGTATCTAGAAGGGGCTAAGTTGCATTTCTGACATGTATATTGGTGTATGACACTGACACTCATACCCATATCCTTGTAACATAGATGATGGAGCTTTCTTATTTCTTAAAACAAATGGAAGAGCACATTGATCTTTTTCAAGAAACAGAAATATTTGTTGAGGGAAAGTAATTTATTTGGAAGAAAGCATAGAACTATCTTGGGCATCTTACAAATGGTTTTGTGAAGATCTCATTGCTTAAAGTAAGAACTATAGCTGCTTCATGAAATAGAGAGAAGCAACACCCTTGCAATGATGTTCTTCAGAATCCACAGTTAACATGTTAGTCAAGTGCCATTATTTGAATTATGGAAAACAAGATAGAAAATCTAGAAGTGTAGCAGTGCTAGTATTAGGTATCCTGCTCTAACAGGAAATTGTGGCTGCTGTATTTCAAAAACCATGCAACAACTAGTTTCAAATCAAGAACTATGCTCTTACAGGATATTTTGCTGTTTCAAACCTCCTAAACAAGCAGGGCACCTAGTAATTTTCTAAAACTACAAGTGGCAACCAAGAGTTTTTCGATAATATAATGCTGCAAATTGGAAATTTAAACTCATTTTCACAAAGAAAGAGTAATAAATTACTATATTTTTACAAGTAAGCTCTGATCAATTGCTTCTGAGAAATCAAATTGGCGGTCTACATCTACTGCCCAGCTGGTGAACCATGTAGTTGTATGGAAACCTTCTTTGGATATCCCCATATTGTATAGAAATCCTACATCTATATCAGAACAATGAAGAAAGTAACACTTTGAAGAAGGTTCTTCCAAAAACTGGTTATGATTCTTATTTGATGGTCACTAATTTTCCCTTAAAGCAAATGGGCACAGCTAGCCGCTGGACGAAGATTGACTCCCAAACCAGATATCCTTTTTCTTATATATTCCAGCCAATTGCTGAAAAGAACAGGGTTCCTAAATGAAATATCTTCACAAAATAATGCAAGAAATAAATGAATCTTTTTTTAAAAAAAATAATAAAAAGAAGAAGGAGAAACCAGCCATGAAAAGAAGCAATTCATTCCTACAGGGAACTTAAAATTTTGGTTCATTTCACTTGAACTATGAACTATACACATTTCACATTAACTGTGAACTGTGCACAATAAATTATGTATAATTTAATAGTGCTCTAAATGAACATTCAAATATTTCCGTATTACATGTCCATGCATATGCTTATGTGAGCAATGATCCTATGATTTCATAGAATGCTAATTCTCTATCTGTGTATCTTTCACAAGATATCTACAACAGATACAAGAACCAGATTGTAAAGGATCAAAGGTATTTGTATACTGAAGAATAGGGGATTACTCATGTAAGATTTCCATTGGCAAAGATGATGACAGCATGTTGCAAAGGCAACACCTCTCAGGCTGCAATTGTCTCATGTCTATTATGTTGCTGAGTGTGGCAGCACCGTAAGGTAAAGTCTGCAAGCACAATTTTAATATGAAATAAAGAATGCCGTGAATTACCGAAGCCAATAATACTGACAAAGTTATCTTCACATGCATTTCCTAGTTAATTATTGGGTGACAAACTGAATTTGCCAACCTATGGTAGGACCACATAAATGTTTCTCAATTGCAAGGTAAGAAATACCCCCTAAAGTCTACACATTATTCAAGTCCAAATCATCAACTGCAATAGTTAAGTTAGACATTAGATGCGCAAGGGGGATGTAAATTGACAGTATTCAATAAATACATCTATACATGTAATGTTAAATATTGTCTGCTTATCATGTTAAATGTGTTAGAAAACCAAATGAGCTCCCATTAAAGATAGCCTTCATTAGTTTAATAGTGATTATGTATGGAACTCAAGGCCCCC